GTAGGACACAGAATAATCAAGTCGTGACAACCCAGATTCAGGCAAGACATCAGAAAAAGTTTCCTCACTGTCAGAGCAATACAACAGTAGAACCAGCTGCCTAGAGAGGTGGTGGGTTCTCCCATACTAGGGACTTTCAAACAGAAACTGGACAGACGTCTAAGTGGGATGATGTAAATTGGCATCCTGTAACAGAAGAGGGTTGCACCTGATGGCCTTACTGGCCCCTTCCAACTATACTATTCTATGTTTCTATGCCTACAGATCAACAGGGGCCACAGTGAAGTATCTTTTTCTTGTTGGATCTTCTATTGACAACACTGAACATCAAGAGGCCAATTCATTTTGCTTGAGTTAATTTGATAAGTTCCAACTATTCTTTGCAGGAAAGTGCTAAAGGGTCAGGATGGGTTCATTTTCTCCTTTAACATTGAAGCACCCTCTCTAGACCAATTAGAGTAGCCACAGTTTTGTTATGCTTCCATTTCATCAGAGGCCAAAATACACAGCACTAGGGGACAATCTGCAGTAGACATTTTTATCAGCATTGCAATGCCTGTCTCACTGGTGCATCGCATGTTGCCCAGCTCAACCCATTTCTTTAGACCTGTGCTCTTTGTTCTGTTTTTTGTTTCTTGTAGTTCTGCATGTTTCCATACTTTTCCTAAAACATGACATACTGCCAGGAGGGTGACCTGAGTTAGCTGGTGGACCTATCAAAGCTAACAGCAGCAACAGGAGATCCATGATTTTCCCACCTCTGGCACAATGCCTGTACCTGCCAACAGCCTCCCCCCAACCCAACTTGCAAATGCACTTTCTCCTCCCCTCATTTTTAGGGGAAAAACACTTTGAGATGAAACACATCCTAATCAGAAGCCAATTGGTTCATCTTCAATAGCCTTGACTCACAATTAAATCACATTGACTTCAATGAAACTAACTCATGGGAGCGTCCCTCTTGCAGGAGGATATTTGTGCTCACTGTTGGGTGGAGTGAATGGGTGTGCTGTTTGCCTCACTGGCTTCACCCTGTGGGGGGCGTGGGGTTAGGAGGACAGGAGTGAGAAGCAGCATCACCTTTCCTTCTCCATTATTTTTGAGATGGGCAGAAGGAGCGGTCAATTAATCCTCCCACTTTTGAAAATCTCTACCCTCTATAGAAGAATAGTCCTCTGAGATTGTCCACTTCCCTGCCTCTCTGATCTGGCTCAAATCTGGATTGGTTCTTATAGGCAAATGTTCCTGTACGAATGGATTGAAAAAGGTGGCTGACAAGTCCTAGCACTCTGGCTGATTCCAAATGGCCCTTGGAACACCTTATTTAATTTTCTACATGTGGCACAAGAATAGTTGCTAGAATTTGTGAATTAGCTAAATCATACAACCTGTAGTTTGTTCCTTGTTTCCTTGAAAGATTCCCAGGACATTAGGCATAGAATCCATTAGTAAATTGGATTGCACATAAACTGTGCGTAATTTTCCATGTTGCTTTCTATTTATTCCTTCAATTCTTCTTCTAATTTACTTTTCCTTACCAGAAATCTCTCTTCCCTTCATATCTGTTAAAGTCAGAATAATGACTTTCCTTTGGTAGTGTTAGGAGCTCTCTATCTACATGCATGTATGTAAATACATACATAAATAACATGCATAGAGTTGTACACATGTTTGTGTAAGTAAGTAGTTATATGTTATACACTTTTTTGTATGAACCACAAAATTAACGTTGAGTGTCCCTGTAAAAATGTTGGCCTTCTCTGTGGAGTGATCTGATTAGCAAAATTGTCAAGAGATCTTCTAACTCGTTTTGCTTTGTGGTACATAGATAACAATTCAATAGAGACATTCACTTCATTGTGGAACAGCCTAGGCATTGCAATGAACAAATAAAAACAGTTCAGCAAGAGGTGGGAGGGAAAGAAAGATGAGGGGAAGGGAGGGCACATTTGCAAGTCAGAGAGAGAGAGAGAGAGAGAGAGAGAGAGAGAGAGAGAGAGAGAGAGAGAGAGAGAGAGGTGTTGCAGAAGTAATCTGTGCATTAGTGGGCCTATATCCTGAGATTGGCAACATGTAAATATGACTTTTGAGCAAGCTCAGCCAATATGGTTTAATATTTTTAATGTGACATAATGTTTTGGAATAGAGCCTAAAATATTTCAAGGATATTGTTTCACCCATAAGGTAAATAGCATTTTATTATTTATTTGTTTGTCTACACCCTAATTGGTTTAATGGAGGATAATTTTTGAACGCAGTTTCCTGTTGGTCTTCATAAGTTCTAATACAGGGCAGGGAGGCAGGGGGGTTCCTAATGAGCCAGAACAAGGGTCCATGTACTCCAGCACCCTGAGAAGGCTACAGGTGGTGCAATGGCAACAGTCATCACCATTACCTGTTCCCCAGAAACTGGTACACAGAATTTCTGATGGTATATATTTCTGTATATGAAAATGAGGGGTGAATTTGGTCTTTGTGACTAATAACTAGTGACAGAGAAGTTGGATCTTCTGTGTGATGATGGCAACTCATGGAGGTGACATGATGAAGGTGAGACTGACATGCAGACATTCCAAAGGTCTTGATAAATGTTGTGTTTTGTTTTCTCGAGATGCAGCCCATGGCAAATACAGAAAAGCAGAATCAATCCACAGTTACTGAATTTATACTGTTGGGATTTGGGGATCTGTCTGAAGTGCAGGTTCTTCTTTCCCTGCTCTTCTTGATGATCTACTTGGTGACCATGACTGGGAACCTTCTCATTGTCTGGTTAGTTTTGACTGATCGACACCTTCACACTTCCATGTACTTCTTCCTAGGGAATTTTTCCTTCCTGGAATCCTGCTACAGTTCAGCTATCATACCTAAAGTATTATCAGTCCTCTTGACTGGAGAAAAACACATATCTGTAAAAGCCTGTTTCATGCAGTTTTATGTATTTGCTTGCCTTGGTGGTGCTGAATGCTACTTCCTTTCTGTGATGTCTTATGATCGGTACGTAGCTGTGTGCAAGCCATTGCACTATGCTTCCATCATGAACAGCAGGCTGTGCTTGCAGTTGGTAGCCGTGTCTTGGGCAAGTGGGATCTTAGTTAGCACAAGTACAACACTTACTGTGTTTTCATTGACTTTCTGTGGGCCAAATGTAATTGATCATTATTTCTGTGACTTATCCCCAGTCATAAAAGAGATCTCCTGCAGCGACACATACATTGTAGAAATGACTGCATTCATATTTGCCTGCACATTCACCCTCCCTCCTTTTATACTCACACTGATATCCTACATTTTGATCATGGTTACCGTCCTCAGAATGCCCTCTGCTATGGGGAGGCAAAAGGCTTTCTCCACCTGCTCCTCTCACCTCACTGTGGTGGCCCTCTTCTATGGCACTCTGATGATTGTCTATATGCTTCCATGGTCCAGGAATCTCAGACACTTGAAGAAAGCATTCTCACTCTTCTATACAGTACTGACACCCATGATCAATCCCCTGATATACAGCCTGAGGAACAAGGACGTGAAGGAAGCCCTAAGAAAATCTTTCAGGAAATTTGCCATCCGCACAACATTGCTGGGATCCAGTTTTTGACCATCCACATGAAATCAGTTGTGATGTGGAGAAGTAGTTTGCAAGTCATTCTTACCTTTGGAGTAATTCCAGAACTATGCATGCATTTTCAGAACGATAAGTATCCCAAGCAGGTTGCTGAATCATGTGTGTTTTCTGCTGTTTAATTAAATGTAGCAAAGAAAAGGTCTTTTAAATATGGCTCCAATTTTTGTGAATGAATGGAGTCAGTGCCATCCAGTATGCCTCACTGCATCCAGTTACATACACTGGATACCACTGCTGGACATCTACACTCTGTTCAATAGTGCTTCCACAGTGCATTGTGAATCTCCTATTAAACAAACTGAGCACCAACTCATTCATTTTAGTTCAGTTCTTTTCCCTTACAGTAGTCCATTAAGCTTTAGTCACTGAATCACAAAATCCAGCACCTGAGGTTTGCTCTCCTATTTGGGGCACACTGATAAGTGGAGGTCACACACAAGGTGACCCATCTTCTGATGGTGAGACATGCACCATCACTACCATCATTACAATACCACCACTCACATGCTTGCCTCCCAGTCTATAGCTCTGAGGTTTCCCTGAGGCTGTGAGATCAAGTGAGTGCACAGGCTTGCTCTCCAGAGGCCTGTGGTGGCATCTTCTGTATGATGATGGGGATCCATGGAGGTGAAAAACCATTTGCCATGGATGTCTAGGGAGCCAGGCCACATCAATGCTCACTCTGGGGAGGTGGCTCTTCCTGAGAGCATGCATTTGGGTATTGGTAGCTTTTTGGCTGTTTTATGTGGTGTGCACAGTTCTGCATAGAGTCTGCCTTCCTGATAGTTCAGCTAAGTAAACTTCAGCATGAAAGATGAGGTGAACGGCTGCTTCAGAGAACCCATCTGCTCTGGGGGCATCCTCAGAGAGAGATTGTGTGGGTGACTGCTCTCCTGCAGGACACCTTGAGGACACATTCATCACCACTCCAGCCTGTTGCCTAAGGCAACACCACCCTACATGGACAAATGTCTGATCCTGCATAAACTTGGAAGCTAAGCAGGGTCAGGCCTGGTTGAAATCTGGATGGGTGACTCAAATGTTGTGAATCTTCCAGAGAGCTTCGGTTATGGGTAGTGATGTAATGATAACCTGTAATAAACATAGGGCTTTATTGTGAGTCTTAGTGCATCAGAATATCTATTTATAACAATTTCCTACCTAGCTTCCTTACCCTGAACAAGCTAGTGAAATTTCTCTTACTGTCTCTTGCTATTTAAAGGTACAAATATTCTGTAATGGTGTGTAATATTGTTGCACTTTTGAAAAATAAAAACAATGAAACCTAACCTATAATTGTGGCAATGAATTTTTGTGTGGTCTAAATACAGATTGCTGCTTTATACAAACTTTATTATCTCAGAAACTGTGTCCTTTCAGCGTGATGTTCCATTTTCCCTGCATTTCCCCAACTTCTTTCATTGCCAGTGGAGGCAATAGGGATGTTTCAAGACCAGGACTTTGGTATGATGGAACTAGATGCTGAGAAGGCTGAACACAGAGATGCAGCATGTTTCCGGCAGCAACATCATAATTATCATAATCTTTATTGTCAACATGATCTTCCTTTTTGGAGGCAATCAGCATCCCAATTTCAGCGGTCATGAAATATTCTTAATCTGGTTTGTTGTATTTTGGGGTGTACGTGTGTTGTTTTTAACTGCTTTAGCAAGGTCTTCATATCTTTGGAGCATACAGTGAATTTAATGAATAAGAAAATTAGTATAGTTCCTGTTTAGTTCAGTTCACTTGTTTAATCTAAACAGAGCCTACCCATTGTTGACTGTCCAAAAGTGGCTTACCTTTTGGATTGAGTAAGATGAGGATGATGATGGTGATTATATTTGCTGAACATCCAGGCCTGTGCTGGGTGTTTGAGTTTTCTCACCTGCTCTGTGCTCAATGCTGCTGCCACTAATTAGACTAATTAGCACCTGTGTGTGGTGGAATTCCAATCATGTTTGCCATCTATAGTTTTAACCATGAAGCTGGAAGTTGTGCTCAGTGGTTTTGTTTGCACTGTGAAAGCAGACTAAGACTTATTCCAGTTGGGATAAGGTTTTGGGGGATTGAGTTTTAATATTTGCAAATGTTTTGCCTGTAATAAAAACTGGCAGCAGTGGGGAGCCATAGCTTGGATATGCGTATTTCATGCAGAATGCAAGATCCTCTATCTCCAAATGAAAGTGGATTTTATGCAGCTGGTGATTGAACCATGGGTTTGACTTGAAATGAGGCAGTTCATACCTCCATGCCACGTAGTCCCTTATCATATATCTCTGAGGTGAGGGAGAATCCACATGAAATGGGACAGTACAAATTAATAATAAACCCAGCATTATTAGAGAGCAGCTGCTGCATCAACTGAAGGAAATGGGACCAGCACCCTGTGCCAGAATATAAGGGTATTTTATCGTTTGGGGGTTTTGCTTTGCATGTTTGCCTGAGAACTTCAACTGTTGCACGATTCATAAATTGAATGGGTAAATACAAATATAAAACTCATTAATTTTACTGCAACATTACTTCCTACCATCATAAGCTTACTTGGGCCCAGATCCCCAAATATCAGTGATTTATTCCCATCTGGTCATTCTATTTATTTGTTTAGCACACTTCTTCTCCATAAGCTGAAATGCTAATTAATGTGTTTCTGCCAATCCAAAGTGCAAGAAGTAATGCAATTACTTCAATTCAATTTTTTATGCATGGAAATGGATTTATTTATTTAATGAGTTCCAAAGTCACACAGGGACTATTATACAAACTGCAAACATGTCTAGAGACAGAGACCTTCAGTATATGGTATTTACATTGATTTCAGAGCAGATCTTCACATTTCAGACTTAGTAAGAAGCCTAGGTGTATCTCCACAGTACATACTAGAATTGCTTTCCCCACTAACTCTAAAGAAAGACGGCAGAGTATTTGATGACAGAACAACATTTATAAAGCACACTGAATTAAGGTAAAAATAAGTAAATTACTGGCTTCTTTGTTTTCTCTGACCCTGTCTTCAAGCAACTTATTCTTACTTCTAATTCTGACACTGTTTTCTGTCATACAGAGAAGGTTAGGAAGCATTTACATCTTTAAAATTTGAATGAATCATGCACTAAAAATTGAATGAACTATAGGTGAGGGTAATTCTCACAGTAGGCTGAAAATATTATACACACACATATATATTTAAAATAATTATAATTCATATATAATGTATTAAATATAGGAACATTATTAATTTTATTTTGTTTAAAGCAGTTTCACTTGGGCCATTAGTGCACTGGCAATTAGCAAGAATGAGAACCAACATGCATTGCCATGTGTGTGTGGTGGGGAAGGGTTAAAGATGCCTGTGAGTGGAGAAAACAGAAGTTCTGCATGTTCCTGTCCCAGAAACTATTTTAGATACCAGGTGAAGAGGATTGGCTTTAAGGCTGAGTGAATTCGAAGAGAAAGAACAAAAGCTATCCATTCTTCCCTAACAGAAATTATATGTGAATGGAGATACCAGCACCGTGGCCCTTTGTCCCTGTATGTATTGCTTTCTGAGGCACCAGAGTATAAGATTCAGTGTAAGATCATTCAGGAAGGAACAGCTCATTCTATCGTAGTGCAGGGCCACGAGTTCCAAGGCTTAGAGTCTACATGAAATAAATAGGATCCTTCGGATTCCCATATCCCATGTCAGAGAAAGAGTTCCGACCCATTCTCAAGCCCTGCTCCCCAAACCCTTGAAGCCAGCACCCCAGAACCATGCTTCTCTGACATCAGAAAAGTCACCTTGGGGAGAAGGAAAGGGGGGCATTCCAGAGGGCGGTGAGGGAAGAGACTGGGGCTGCCAGAATATGTGCTCTCCTGATGATCAGCCAACACCCTCACCTCTTCTCCAAAGCATACAGATGGCTGAAAACATCTGAAAGGGCAAGGAGGCATGGCCTCCATGGCTCCTGCTCTGCACTGCATGCTCATAAGCCTTCAGTCTGGGGGCTTGCAAGAACCAATTGCAAGCACAATTTATAGGAATGTACAAGGGTTCTTCAAAAAGTTTCCACACTTTAAAAAAACTATTTATTAAGAATTTCAAAAACAAATTGCATCACTTTTCTACATAGTCATCCTCCTTTGTGATGCATTTTCCCAGTGTTGTACCAACTTTTTAATGCCATCAGCAAAAAATATGAAATATATTTATGAAATATAAAATATAAAATGCAGAAATTTTTGAAGACCTTCATACCATAATTGCATGTTAATATATATCACAATGTATTTTCATTTTTTTTCTTTTTCTTGTAAAATGCTTAACATTTGGGAGCCAGTGTGGTGTGGAAGCCAGTGTGGTGTAGTGGTTAAGAGCATGGGACTCAGACGATCTGGGTTCTAGTCCCCGCTCGGCCATGGAGCCAACTGGGTGACTTTGGGCCAGTCACAGACTCTCAGCCCAACCTACCTCACAGGGTTGTTGTTGTGGGGATAAGATGGAGGAGGAGAATGATGTAAGCTGCCTTGAGCCCTTTGTAGGAAAAAGGCAGGATATAAATCGATAAATAAATAACAATATTATTAAATAGGGACAGCACTGTATGCATCTATTAAAATGAATAAATGAAGTGTAGTGTAGAAGTGCATATAGGTGTGGTTTGGTGGTTCAGGTGTTGGACTGAAGATGTGAGAGTACCAACTCAACCACATAGCTCACTGGGTGACTATTAGCCTGTCACTAAATCTCAGTCTAACCCACCTCACAAATTAAATACACTTTTAGGAGGAGCTATACATAAGCTGTGTTGGGTTCTCTGCAAGGAAAAAAGATGGTCAATAAATACAATAAGAAAAGGTAAGGGTGAGGGTGAGGGTAAGGATAAATGTAGCTAGCTCATTATAAGCCTGTATATAGTATACAGCAGGAAGGGAACACTGATATATCTGTAATCATACATGACACTGTCATTTTTCCAGTATGGGCAACCATGTGCCATCACTGTTTAAGTGGGCAGATCGAGGCTTGGGAACCATGTACATGAAAAGAGGATCCAAGATATATGTCTTTGCTCTTATTATGGCACAACCATCTCTTATGCATTTCCTTCAGCTGTTGAAGACCAGGGACATCCTATGTATGTCTATTCAGAAGTAAGTCCCCTTGAGTTCAGCTGGGTTTACTCCCAGGTGCAGATAGGAATGCTGCCTTAGTCCTGGTGATGGCATCCTTTATAAAAAAGAATAACTTGTGTTTTCTTTTATTCATCCCACTGCAGAAAATACCTGATGGGGACAATAGGATGGAGAAATCAAACAATTGTGAGAGAATTCCTTCTGCTAGGATTTGGTGATCTCCCAAAACTGCAAGTTCTTCTCTTCCTGGTATTTTTGATCATTTATTTGGTGACTCTGTCTGGAAACCTCCTAATGGTAATCCTCATTGTAGCTGCTCGGCAACTGCACACTCCCATGTATTTCTTCTTGGAGAATCTTTCTTGCTTAGAAATCTGCTACAGCACAGCTATTCTTCCACGTTTGCTGGCCAGTTCCCTGACTGGGGTGAAAAACATTTCATTTGGAGGTTGCTTTGTACAGTATTATATGTTTGCTTGCCTAGCTGGGACTGAGTGCTACCTCCTTTCTGTGATGTCTTATGACCGGTATTTAGCAATCTGTAAACCATTGCATTATGCAGTCCTAATGAATGACAGGTTATGCTTCCAGCTCTCAGCTGGATCCTGGGCATGTGGACTTTTAGTGAGCACCGTTACAACCATATTGATGTCATGGTTATCCTTCTGTGGCCCCAATGAAATTGATCATTATATATGTGAATTAAAGTCAATGCTAAAACTCTCCTGTAGTTACACCTATGGGACAGAACTCACAATATTTATTTTTGCCTGTACATTCACTGTCCCCCCCTTTCTACTCACAACAGCCTCCTATATTTATATCATAAGAACAGTCTTAAGAATTCCATCCAGAATCGGAAGGAAGAAGGCATTTTCCACCTGCTCCTCTCACCTCTTTGTAGTTGGCCTTTTCTACGGGACTCTCATAATTGTTTATATGCTTCCAAGAATCTGCATTCTGGGACAGCTCAATAAAGTCTTTTCTCTCTTCTACACTGCTCTCACTCCTATGGTGAATCCACTCATATACAGCCTGAGGAACAAAGATGTGAAGGAAGCTTTAGAGAAACTCCTTGGGAAAATGACCAACCTGAGAAACACGGTTGAGAATCCAGCTTGGAAAATGGCAGCAGGTGGGTTGGGAAATTAAATGGAGTTGCCACCACTTCCTGCTTTTCTTTCTGGAGGTGGGGGTGGGGAGATCTGTGCATAAGAAGTAGAAAACATGCACCAGTGGCACATGGGCATGCTGCTGTGGGAAGAATGCCTTAGGAATGGAGATGCCTTCTATACTTACGAGGGTAGACCTAAAAGAAACTGGAATCATTCTCTGGTGTGTGACCCCATTGTAGTACATGCCTCTGCCACTAGATGCCTCTTATGGGGACCCTTCTGCATCAGTCCACCAACCGACATTGTCAAGTGAAGTCATTAAAACAGTCATTTTGTTAAGCACCTCTCGCAGTGTGATGGCTGAAAACAGCCATTACAAAAATCAATGAACAAGTGAGAGGTGCATAACAAAAAATTTTACTGGGCGGTACCATGTCTTTATTTGATGATGGTCCAAGGAAAATGGAAAATCACAGCAGCATCATGTTCCTGGTAAATATTTTGCCTTACAAATTAATATCCTTGCGAGAAATGATGATAGGGCAGAAGCTACCTGAATAGCACATGCAAACCTGGTTTGTGACATCTGTTATCTCTGAACTTGCAATGCATGTTGATCGTGCTCTTACAAATGTAAATCTGCAAAGAGTCTGAGGGATACGACTACCCCTTTGAACCATATGAAATTGTTGTAGTTGTTTTAAGAATGTTACTAGCCTAATGGTGGGATCAATTGCAACCTGCAGGCTATTTGAGTAAGATTTTTCTATCTCACAGCTTATGCATTTTTTTTCTTGGAACTGGGAAGTTCCGAATAAATTGCTTGATATCCTAACCTCCAAATGGTGTCATGTGTATTAGTTTATTGCAAGTAGTTTGTCTGCATGTTGATCTTGATGTATTTTTGGCTCTGAGGCTGCCTTTAGTATAGTCATTTTAAAAGGATGTCAGATTCAATGTGCAAATGTGTAAGAGAGTGATCCTCTCCCTATAGACCTCATGTGGAAGCACATAGGATTAACTGGATTTCCAGAACTGAGGGCAGACCTGTGTTCTGACCTCAGGGAGGGGATTCCATGCCCTAAACCTCCTTCCCCCTCTTGCCCCTGCAGGAAGAGGCACTCCAGCTACCTTTCCAAGGTCAGAAAATTTAGTTGAAATCAATCCCTTCCCCACAGGGGAAAAGAAACTAAATGGAGTCCATGCTTAAAAAGAGAAAAAAGTCCTATGATTAGAAGGTGGACCTATCAGTCACAGAACCAAACTGCCCCCCACTGCCCCCCACTGTTCCCCGTGTTCACCATCAACAGCCACAGAAATGAAGACAGAAGGCCATATCTGGAGAGGAGAAGGCAATATCTGGGGATGTCTCCTTCTCCAAAGAATGAATCACTAACAAAGCTTAGCTCAGGTCCTGGTTCCATTCTATTCACATTGAAAGGAAGCTCACTTTCCCCCAGGAAGCACTAGAAATGATCTGAAGGGACTCAGTCAACTGAGCTCAAGCAAATCCACTGTACTCCCATAGTAGAAGTTTAACAGTTTGAGACAACACGTCCAAGAGGAAAGCATCAGCTAGATCTCTGTGCCTTCATATCTAAACCCTAGTCATGTGGATCACTTTTGCAATGTGATGGGGTAACCCATCCCATTTGGACTTCTAATTATTGTACAGTATTTGCATTACAAATGGAGGGGACCTGGGGTACTTTATACACCAACAATATATGTATGCACTGCAAATCTGGCAGCCCTTTTTATGCCAACTATTATCTTTGAAATTACTAAAGCTTTTTAGTAAAATAGAACATAGAAACAAAGCGAGTCAGAAGGGGTCTTTTAGGCATCTAGTCTGGCCCCTGGCTCCAGCCAGCTCCTCTTATGTAGACCTCAACATGTGGTTGTCCAGTCTTTCCTTGGACACCCTCACTGATGGGGGCTCGACCACCTCCCTTGGAAGCCCATTCCATATCCTAGGGGTCCTAACTGTCAGGAAATACTTCCTGACATCCAACCTGATGGCTGGTTCCTTGAGCTTCTGCCCCATTGGAACGTGTCCTACCCTTCACTTAAGGGAAGAACAGATCACATCCCTCCTCCACATGACAGCCCCTCACATATCTATAAGTCACTAAAAGATCCCCTCGGGATGTTCTCTTCTCCAGGCTGAAAGGACCCAGTTCTCTCAATCTCCCCTCATATGTCATCCCTCCCAACCAGGCTACCATTCTTGTGACCCGGAACTGAACCGATTTTAACCTAGCTGTGTTCCTCTTATAATGTGGAGCCCAAAACTGGATGCAGTACTCCAATTGTAGGTGCACCAGAGTTGTGTAGAGTGGTATCAACTTCTCCCTAGATCTGGGAACCATGCTTCTGGCTATACATTTAACAGTGAAGTTTGCCTTCTTAACCACTGCATCACACTGCTAGTATGAGTGCACTGATGTATTTCTTCACAGGGTTTATTCTTCATGGGGTCAAATACAGGTCTAGTATGGATAGAAACTTGACTTAATTGTGGAAGAAATTTAATGTTCATTTATTTCGGTAAGTATGGTGTGTGTTTGAATATTTTTCAATCCCAGCCCATGATTTTGATTGTGCATGGACAAAATCATGTGGGGTGGAGTATTTGGAGAAATACAGGGAAATGCACTGCAACTTGATTCTAAAAGCTGGACCTAAATGAAAATGTAAAAGAGCATAGGATGAGATTGAGAGAGATGTAGAAGGACTTATGGCAATAGTACTTTGTCTCTGGGCATGGTGTGAGGGCACATGAAGTGGCCACCTTCCTGAAGCTTAGCAGGTTGGGGGTTGGTTGGTGCATAGAAGCCATCCTGGGTTCCATGGAAGAAGAAAGGTGAGGACTGAATGTACTTATTTACTAAATGAATAAATGAATGAAATTGAAGGGAACCCATGAAGAGAGAGAGATAGCGAGAACTTGAAGCAACCTTTATGCTATTTTGCATCTGTGTGTATGATCTTGTTTGTGTCTTCAGAATGATTAGTATAAAGGTTCTCCAGGGTGATTGTCCCAAAGGACTCAAGGCACATTGAAATACATCTATGGGAAAGAAAGAAGGGGTGATCCTTCAGAACCAAGTATTTCCCCTCATGATGGTAAGCAATAGCTCTGCATATAAGGAAGGATTTTGAACAGTCTCTAGCTAGATCCTTTGAAGGAGTAAGATTTGCCATGGGTGCTTGTATCACAAATATCCTTGTTGGTTCTGCTGGAGTAGAGAACGGTAGCAATGGTGTTAAGCGTTGCTGCACCATGAGTCTAATTAATGGTTTTTGTGGGATATGTAGAATTCTACAACTTACAGTTTGAACAAGAGCTAGAGTCCTGACTTAATGCTGTTTGTATTGAACATCTACAGAAGTCAAAGTGTGGGGAATGTCGTTTTCTGTCAAGAGTCCACATGGCCTCCTCTAGCTGCCCCTGCCAATTCTTTCAGGGTTCTTTTATAGCTATTAATTTAGAAAGGGAAAAAAGGATAATTTATCATATATTCCAGTTTTCACTATTTTAAAAACAAAGCAAAACTGGAGTGGCCCTGCAAGCCCAGTCAGAACACCAGCCAGCACTTTCTGTTGACAGAGGAAGAGAACATGAAAGAACTATTGCATCTACTCTACAGGTTGGATTCAGGGTAGGTGAGCTCACAATGCCAATTCCTGCAGCAGCTTACAATCTTATTTTACTGTTAGCGATTTTATATATTTTTTGTAAAAGGCTGCATAGGAATTCATATGCATTTCTCCTGTTGCGTACATGAATTTCATGTGCATCTCTCCTAATGTCTATTTTGAAAATAAACAACACACAGGAAACATGTAAAAAATCCAATTATTACAAATTTACACAATTTTTCTTATGCATTCATTTTTGAGCACACTTTTAAATGTGTGTGTGTGCGTGAGTGCATGTGTGTGAACATTATATTGTTTGCCTAATACATTACAGTATAATCTTGGAGAAATGCATCATAAAAGTCAAGGTGGAGGGGGGACTACATTCCAGTTCAAGAATTAGTTCAGGAAGTTGGGAAAGGGAAAGGGGAAAGAAAATATTGATTTTGTATATGCAGACCAAATCAGTTTCTCCAAGATAACATTGTTTCTCATGGTATTGCACATTTTCTATTTCTCTTATATTTGGAGGAAGGACTTTTATTTAAAGCATGCCTGAGTCTCAAGTTTTAAATGATCAAGAAAACCAAGCCATATTTCTCACCATTTTATGCAGTATGTTATCTCATATGAAGTTATCTCATGCAAGGAAATTTTACCACAAATCCTTCCATTGTTTCCAGTAGACCATGATTACATGTTCTATTGATTGCAGTGTATCTGCTCTAAGTATGATAAGTCTGTTTCTAACTCCATCTGTTCTTGAGATGAAATACAAACTGTATCATTGTCTGATGAAATAATTTCCCCCCTACACAGTGGCTGTTGCTCAAGTGAAGAAATGAACACATGCCTTTGCCCATGTCTGATGCAGAAATTGGTGTAATATTTGCTCCACAGAGCACAGACTAGGACAAAAGAGAACCATGTGGGTGAGGTGAAAGCCCATTTAGCTAAAACTGCATGCTTAAGAGATCTATGAGCCTAGAAGCAGGTCCAGTATTGATAGCCAAGCTTTTAAAAAAAATGGAATACACAAGGCAAATACTTCTTTCACAGGGTCACTTCTTTGCAAACATGGGAGTACTCTAATACTTTAATGAGTGGGATAATGTGTGTGCATTTACTCAACAGCTAGTCCGACTGTGCTGGGCAGAATTCATTTCCATGGCAGGGTTACTTCCTTGGAAATAAGTCCCAATGTTTTCAGTGGAACTTACTCCCAAGTAAGTGAGGACATAATCAAGTTACCCAGATGTATCTTGTGCCCAGAAAGCTTGTCTCTGCTCCCTTTTTAAAAATTCCGAGGGGAAAATGAGTTTGATGATGTTAATGATGGCAGTGGTGATGGTAACAAGAGATCATAACTTCACTTTCAATTTCTCTACAGAAAATACTATTATGTGACACGGATGGTAGGAATCACTCACCTGTGTCTCAATTCATTTTTGAGCCTTTATCTGACACACACTCTATAAATATCATCCTATTCTTGATGGTTCTGGTTTTGTACCTTGTCACCCTGATGGGAAACATCTTGATCATAATTGTTACTTGGACCGATCCTGTTCTTCACTCTCCCATGTATTTCTTCCTATGGAATCTGTCTTTTCTAGAGATTGGTTATACTTCAACTATAATCCCCAAAATGCTGTCAAACATCCTGTCAGAAGACACGAGCATTTCTTTCATAGGCTGTGCCATCCAGATGTATTTCTTTGGCTCCCTTGGAATTGCGGAATGTTGCTTGTTGGCTGCCATGGCGTATGATCGCTATGTGGCAATATGTCACCCTTTGCATTATGCAGTCATCATGAGCAGAACCATGTGCCTGCAGATCTCTCTGATCTGCTGGCTCCTTGGGGTCCTGGTGGTTTTGGTGCCAGCAACTTTAATATTCACTCTTCCCTTCTGTGGACCCAACAAGATCAACCACTTTTTCTGTGACCTTCCTCCGCTTCTGAGACTCGCCTGTGCAAACACTTTCAAAATGGAGATCATCATTTTCACCGTCACTGTACTCTTCATACTGCTACCCTTTCTGCTTATTCTGATCTCCTACATATGTATCCTCCAAAATGTGCTGAAGATGTCCTTCGCTACCAGCAGAAGCAAGGCCTTCTCCACTTGTTCATCCCATATATTGGTGGTCATGTTCTTCTATGGATCAGCAGTTCTGACATATCTGAGACCTCAGTCTGCTTATTCAGTTGAAACAGACAAAGTCCTCTCATTTTTTTACACTGCTATCTGTCCAGTGATGAACCCTTTGATCTACAGTCTCAGGAACAAAGATGTGAAAGATTCCCTGAAGAAGCTGATGGGCAGAAAAATACTGTTCTCTAGGATGTAGTTTATACATTCTGAATCAGATACTTAACCTCTGTTACCTGCAAGATTTTGGATTTATGACAGCAGTATATGAATATTCATCCATATAACTTGGTGCTGCTCAGTCATAAATCTCATACATTCCCAGTAATAAATCACATACATTCTATGACATATGAGAACTTAATTTTGTTAAGGGGTTGTTGTAATTAGAATGAACACATTAGTGTATTAGATATTAAAAAGGGAGAAAAATAGGTGGATTTCTGCTTGGCATACCATACCATTTTCTGCTTGGCATACCATAGGTTTATAACCGATCAAGACACCTGTTCCCACATAGCGTCTCTCACACATTGGACTGGTTGCATGGTAGTGGTGTGTTATTTCAGTTTTATTGATTGTCCACAGTAAGTTGCACATTGATCATTCACCTGCAAGTGTGGAATGCAAGATCAATACGCAAACTTGCAAGAAGTATGGTGTCCTATTCAAATGAGCAACATCTGGTTCTAAGTATGAGGGATTCCACTCAAACACACTTGGGCTAGGAAAATGGACTCAGAAGTGAATTCAGAAACAAAGAATTCTTTTCGAAATAAGCACACATTCATAAATGTTACCCTGAAGAACAGTGCTCTCTTTTTCTCCCTCCTGGCTCCATGGGCAGATTCCAAAGTTAAATGTACTGCAGAATATGAAGAAAGCTCTATTCTTATAGGCTTCGGCGAATGGGGCGGCATAAAAATGCTTTAATAAATAAATAATACATAAATATCACAGAGCAATAGCCAAATCTATGAGAAACTTTGCATCTGGGAGAATGTGTATATGTACAAATGGTCTATAGGTGTGTGCGTGTGTGTTGGTTCCACCCACCCTTTAAGGGTCCTGCCTACCACTGCCTGGCCACCCCTATGCTAGATCAAGGGGAAAAAAGTGCCACCCATGGGACGCATACAGACCACCAAGGTGCTTCTGGTGGTCCACCTGTATCTCCTGCCACCTGCCACTACATGGGCTTCCCTTGCTCTATATAATTCTATATAAACAACAACAATGACAACACATTCATAGCCTGGCTTTGACTGTTATAAGAAACCCATAGGGGTTTACATAGCTCTATTTTCTCCTCAACAACAACCTTGTGTGGTAGGTTACACTGAGATTGAATGAAATGCCCTAAGTCACCCAATGAGCTTCGTGGACAAATAAGGACTAGATGCTGGATCTCATAGCCCCCTTTCTAGTGATGCCACACAAGAGTGATGCCCTAATATAGCAAGAAGCTATGCTTCTATTTCCCCCAAAGAAGAAGAGTCCATGCAAACTAAAGGAAGGTGGGTTTGTTGAATTGCAAATATCTAATTGGTGGGGGGGGGGGGTTGGAAAAGCCTGTAGGTGGCAGCAACGAACAAGAAAATGGCGTATTATTTTGGATTGTTCCATGGCTTCTTTGTTATCCTCCAGGTTGGGATACCTAACTCTTTTTATCTCAGGGATTCTTCCACTCACATTTGTTCCCCCATTCCTACATGACAGAGCAGGCAAAACTCAGTTCTGACTTCCTTTCTACTTCCTTCAGAGTGTTTTGGGGGGGGGGTAGTGTTAGTATTTGGAATGTCTATATCATGCATATCCATATTTCTAAAGGAAAGGGTTTCTGCCAATTTTACTCCACTAGCCAAACAGCCACAGGGGGTGATGCTCATCTCTGTTTTTATGCCCATGAGCCAGTGCTGACCAAAGACATTCTTGTGGTCATGTGGCCAGCATGATGTCATGGGGCACTCTTTTCTCCCCACTGAAATGGCACCTATTTATCTAGTTGCATTACCTGCTTCCAAATTGCTAGGCTGGCAGAAGCTAGGGCAAGGCTTTGATCAGCAGCCCAGCGGCTCAGCAGTTTAACCCATTGCACCACCACGTCCCCCATATATATATGTTTGAAAAACTTTTTATGTTATAATTCTTTCTAGTGAGATTTTACAAGGTATAAACTTTTACAGAGTACTTTACAGGCTTATAAAATTTACCAGGATAGGAACTGACAAATAAGTTTACATCCAAACATTTATATATAAGATAAAGACACCAACACATACTGGCAGATCTAAACACTACCGATTGAAATTTAAGAAAAACTACGACATCTAAGAAAAACTATATTTGAAACACATTTCTTTAAAGTAATAATCCAATCACTTAACTCCCTGGGTTAGGGGTAGGGTTAGCTAGCCTGTAGTCAGTAAGTTTGCAATGCAGGGCTGTTGAGAATCAGAACAGCAAGAGCTTTGAACAGGACATTGCATCAGCCTAATACATAGTTATTTTGCTACACCAAATGTGACTACATTGACACCTAATTTTTGCACAGTTAAAGGGGAAGCAGCAGTAGGAGCAGTTTTGGGTTACTCTGCTGCTGCTGTAACTATTGGTCAGGTGGTGCTGATGTATGTATGGGTCACACTGGAAGGTGGGGCACATTTACTTCTTAGTAATCTTCTGGAAAGAAGATTGCCTGCTTGCTTGCGGTCTCATGAATAAGCACCGGAGATAAATTTCTATGAAATAAAGTTGTAATTCTAGGTAGAGCACCTGCAGTCTTTCCAGAAAGGTCAGGCCACCATAGGCTGACTTGTGGCTACAGCAGTTTTCTCGCTTCCCATTCCCATGACTTGATTTGTCTTCTCCCCATCCCTCTCTTTAATTGGAGGTGGCTTACGTCCCCAGTGCTCTCAGAACACCTCCTGCGGCTTTCAATCTACAATTCTAAATGCAGTCTTAAAATAGCTTCTTAGCTGCAAAGAGGTTTTCTATTATATGCCCATAAATAAAATGCTGTGATTCTGAATTTGAAAACCGTACTGAAGGAAGTATGGAAAGCTGTCCTGACATTCCGGTCCATCTCTAGAAAGAGGAAATTTCAGAGTAATGACTGAGAAACCCTGCCTCTCTTGTTTGTAGATGCCAGCTCACGTGCGGAGGGTATGTGATCAGAAGCAATGCTTTGAACTACTTAGAACAGTTAGGTTCTGCCATAAGAGAAATGCTTCCAGATGGAGAAGCCACAACATTTCCAT